ATATGTGCTATCCATATATCTCAGGGAAATATACATGAACGTGAATAAGATTCAGTCTTCCCATGATTGCATTCTTTAAAAAACTAAATGCAAAATTTCAAATATTACAATTCATATGCCACACAGCTTTCTGTTTATGCCGGAGAGGTGATAGTAAATTCATATAATATCTGTTAGAACCTTAGGGTTTCCCAGAGTGCTTCACAGTTAACCAAGTACCTCTGAAGTGGAGTAACTCTGGTGATGTAGGAAACATGGCAGCCAGTTTTCACACAGCAAGCTCCCACAAACAGCAATTTTTAAAAAATGGATAATCTGTTTTAGTTATGTTACTGGTTCGGGATAAATATTTGCAAGGAAATAAGAGCTCCCATGCTCTTCCTCAAATAGGGATCTTGGAGATCCACCTAAGTAAGCTGATGAAGCTTCAGTTTAACATCAGCTCTAAAAGGCAGTCTTGCCCACAGAGCTGCAGTCTCTCAGCTTTGCTTATTTTCTGATGAAAACTTGAATGTATCCCTTGCTGACTTACAGGCCAGTGTGCAACTACTGATGCATGTCTGCAAGTTGCCCCTTCACGAGCTAACAATTAAATAACTTCAAATAAATAAATATTGGCAGAGAAACTTTAAACATTTATTCCTCCACTTAAACTTTCTACCATAACCTAAAATCTGTCTTTTGCTAACAAAAATATGATTTAGTCATATTTGGTTGACTCAGAGTTTTTGGTACATGTGTTAAACGATGGGAAGTTCTGAGATTGAATCATTGACTCACAGCGCAGTAAAAAAAAACATTTATATACTGATTTTAATTCAGCAAAGTGTCTCAGGGTGCTTTACAGCAAATAACAGCAATGAAAATGTTTTTGATAGTGTTCCACAAAAGGAGATATCAAGACAGATGACCAAAGTTTGGCCATAGAGGTAAAATTTAAGGAGATTGTTACAGGAGGTAAATGAAGTAGCATGATGGAGAGGTTTAGTGAGGAAATTCAAGAGGTAGGGGCAAGGACAGATGAAAGCATGGCCACCAATGCCGGACCAAACAAATCAGGAATGTGTGAGATACCGGTACTGGACAATTGCAGAGATTTTGCTGGCTTGTTGAGGTTGAAGATGTTAAAAAGATAAGGAGCGATGGTGCTTTGGAGAGATTTGAAAAGGATTGTAGAAGAATTTCAGGATATTAAGCAGAACAGATAGGGCAGTTTAAGAAACATATTCCCAGTGATTAGGGCACCAATAGAAGTGACCATTGATTAAAAGTTAGATTAGTCCTTTCAGGAGTGCAATTGGGAAATGTTTCTTCATACCAAGTGAGGTAAACATTTACATCTCTCTTCAGAAACAGCTGGGTGCTGGATTAATTGTTAATTTTAAAACTGTATTTGTTTTTAACCAGAGGAATAAGGTCTACAGTATTTCGGTCATATACATATTTAGATATATGGAATAAGGTCATTAAAGCCATAATCTCTTTGAATCTTGGAAAGATTTAAGGGGTTAAATTGCACACAACTGTTTGCATTGTCCCTTATTGCTATGAAAAGGAGGATGGCAATGTTACGACTGAGGGATTGTCACACTCAAACCTAGTGTAGGTCAATAAACACAGGGATGATGGGTAAATGAGGCTTGGACTGAGTTAAATGTGGTTAGCAGAGTTTTGAATGAGCACAGTATTATATGTAGAATGGAAGGTGGGAGGTCTGACAGTAGAATATTCAAATAGTCAAGTCAGTAAATAGCCAAGGCAGATAGAATCAGAGAATTATACAGGCTCAGCAGAGGCCCTTTGAATTTGCATCAACAAAATAAAAAGACTCAAAGCTCTATTAGTCCCACTTTCCAACACTTGGCCCAGAGTCTTGAATGTTATAACATTTCAAGTGTTCATCCACATTCTTTTTAAATGTTGTGAGGTTTTCCCTCTTAATTATCCTCCCAGGCAGTACATTCCAGACACCACTGCCATCTGAGTGAAATTACTTTCCCTCTAAACCCCCTGCCTTTCACTTTAAATTTATGTCCCCAAGTTAATGGCCCGTCAATTAAGGGGAACAGCTGTTTTCTATTCACCATATCCAAGCCCCTCATAATCTTATTTTCCTCAATCAGGTTCCCTTTTAGCCTTCTTTTGCCCTAATTTATCTAGCCTCTCTTCATAGCTAAGCTGCTTCATCCCAGGCAACATCCTGGTGAATTTCCTCTGCACTCACATCTTTACTGCAATATTTTGGAGATGGAAGTAAGCAATCTTGGTAATGCATCAGATTTGTGACCTGTAGCTCATCTTTGGGAGAAATACAGCACCAAATTTTTGAGAGAACTGACTCAAATTTAAACAGTTGTCAGGAGTAAAAGCTGCACAAAGAAAATGGAATTTATGGGAGGAGACAAAGGCCATTACTTCAGTCTTTCTAATATATTGATGTGGGGAATGTCTACTCACCCAAGACTGGATGTCAGACAAGCAGCATAACAAATTAATGGAAAGGTGTGAAACATGATGGTGAACTATTATCAGCGTAAATGAGGAACTGAAGTTATGTTTTCAGATAATTTTATCAAATGGTACCATGCATGTGGGAAATGGAAAGGAGCCATAAAACAAATCTTTGGGACATTCCAGTGGAAGTAATGGAGGAGTGGGTAAATAAGTGATTGCAGGAGATTATTCTTTGGCTATTATTCAATAAATAAGAATGAAACAAAGCAAATATAGCCCCACCCAGCCGAATGATGAAATTGAAGTTTTAGAGCATGATGGTGTTGTCAACAGTCAATGATGATAGAGGTAGATGAGGAGGGATAGATAATCATATTTGCAGTTACGCATTGACTTTGATAAAGACCATTTCAGGACTGCGTAAGGATCGATTGGAGGAATTCAAGCATTGGATTGTAAGAAAGATGGGCACAGATTTAGCAGCAGGCAACACAATTAAGAGTTTTGAGGAGGAAATGGAAGTTGGAGATGACTGGTCATTTGCAATGACAGAGAGATCAAAGTTGGATTTTTTAGGGAGTGTGAATTATGACAAGTTTAAAGCAGGCATCCACAGAGCAGGTACTTGGAGTGCACAAACAGAGGGTGGATGGTCAACAGTTTGATCAGAATAGGATCAAAAGAGCAGGAATTGAGTCTCGTGAATAAGATGAGCTCAAACAGAGCATGACAGGTGATGGATAGAATCTGCAGAAAGACCTGATTTCATGATTAAGGCAGTGGGGAACATTAACAGATGTTTAGCCTGGTGGGTTAGATGAGATAGAGATAAGCAGCAGCTGCAGCTGAATAGATGGTTTAATTCTTTGTGTAAAACTTTTCATGACCTCTTTACATTTTTTAAAGATGAGGGTGGAAGAGGCAGAGGAGGATGGTTTGAGAAGACTGTGGTAGAGGTGAAAAGCCAATAGTTATATTGTATCATTTTAGGACCTTAGAATAGCGGCCAGTTTTAATAATGCAGTGTAGAAGCTGATAATGCTTTGTGTGGTCCAGCTACATATGGTGATGGATGATGAAGTGTGGGCCAAAGGCTCAGTAGTTGAGAATTTGAAAATGCAGTGATAAATAAGATCTGCAACTGCCAAATTCATTAATCTGCCCTTATTCTAGTTTATTCTGTTTGAACCCTTTTCTTACCCTATCTAGTATAGTCCGGATATGAACTTTGGCTCAATTCCAGCTACTTTAGATGATCTTTCTGTATCTGCTTTCAGATCTTTAATGTGATTTAAGGGACATCTTATCCAATATTTGGAGTGAATCTTAACACGTACTCACGAGTAGTTGAACATATTTCTTGGGCTTATTTTGATTCTGACTGCAATGCCATAGACTATTTAGCAAAACAGTTTGATGCCACAGCTGTTGAACCAACAGCTTTGCATGGTTGATGATGTGTTGCCCAAAATTTGCCATTTGATGAAAGTATAATATTGCAAAGCATTCTTAGTTTTGCCTGAAATGGTAAAATTTTGCATTCCAGGTTTGTACTTCAGAGTAGTTCTTATTTCATTATTTTATTTTAGTTTAAGCTTTCATTAATGTGCTTTCCAGGCAAGGTTGCAGTTTAAAATTGTGCACAATAGAAGTTTCTCAACAGGAATAAGGCATTTTTTAAAAAAAAAATGTATGGTATATTACAGTAGAACCCTTGAAAATCAGAAAGCCCAATACAATTATGAAATGTCACTGAAGTGGTTCACGGGGAATTCACATTGTTTTGTATGGCAACCGCACAGTCATTTTACCTTCTGAAGGGTAATAATTGGCTGTGAGTGGGCATTCTGTCCCCAGTGGGGGAGAGGGGGGGGCATTCTGTCTCAGACAGCTGCCAGCCATCTAATTGGTCATGGGTTCATTGATCCCAGCAGTGACACAGGAATCCGATAGCTACTGCTGGGACTGCATCCGTCCCCTTAGATTGAGGACCCAGGATCCAGTTGCAATAATTGCTTGGGACCCACGATAGAGCCAGGAACGTGTACGTTGTGGAGTAAGGTGCAGTTGTTGATGGTGTTGTGTGGCCAGGATGCAAAGGCCATATCCCAGATGGAAAGCAGTGACCTGGTGGTAATGTGGGGTTGGTACCCAGTTGCAAAAGGAGACCCATGAACTCGCCTGCACCCTTCCCAACATTTAAGCAGGCTCCCTTGTCAGGCTACAGCTATCATCTTTTATATCCCAACCTCCTTCTTAGGGGTGTCATTTGGGGCAAGAACAGGCAGATCTCCTCAGGACTTGCCCACCACCTGTAGAATTGCAACAATTTTTTGAGGACAGGAAAGTCACCTACAGTATCCTATAGTGCTGCCATCCATCATAAAACTCCACACTGTTAATTCTGGGTGCTGAAATAGTCATCAAGTACAGGTAATGAGCAAAACTTTGGTGTAACATTTGAAACTGAGAAAGATTATAACCTGAAATGAAAAATATTTCAAAAGACAACCATGACCCATTTCATTTTCAGATTTTGCCAAAAATGAATAGTGCCCAGTGAGAACACCAATTAAACAAATTTTTGGAGAACATATTTTTGCTAATTTTATGTTTACCATGTACGTTAATATTTATAAAGAAAGGCTATGCATCTCATCTTCTTAGTCCTCATCTGTAATTACCAACAAGTTCCATTCTGTTGTTTTCATAATGTTACTCTTCTCATTTTTATTCAGATGTTATCTTGAATTCATTCCTCACAGCATTTCCAGTCCATCAGATTTTTGACAGCTAATGGCCCTGTGAAAATAAATGCTAAAACAATTAGATTTTGACTGAATGCAGGGACTCGGCAAAGCATTCTGTTTCCGTTCTGTCAGTTCAGAATTCAAAAACCATACATCATTCCTCACAGACTCAGAAGTACAGGCCTTCCCAGCAAATAATGCGTGACAGCAAACTTAGATTAACATCGTGTATTCAAACCTGTCTGGATAACTCAGGTATCCGTTTGATTAGGATTTCTCAAAGTACAGCCTTGCTGATTAGCAAAAGATGGACATTTTTAGAACCCAAGTAGTATTTCAGGGAATGAATGTGCCAAGCTCCTTCCATGCTGAAGGAGGGTCATTGGACTCAAAATGTTAACTCTGCTTTCTCTCCACAGATGCTGCCACTGCTCCTGAATTTCTCCTGAAATTTATGTTTTCCTTTATTTCAGATTTGCAGTTCTTTGTTACATTTTAGTTCTACAACACGATTTGTATTTCTGTTTTGACGTGCAGCTGCAAAATCTGATTTTCAACACATAGATAGAGTCATAGATTTGTACAGCACAGGCACAGGCCCTTCAGTCCAACTCATCCCTGCTGATCAGGTATCCTAAATTAATCAGGTCCCATTTGCCAGTATTTGACCCATATCCTTCTAAACGCTTCCTATTCATGTACCTATCCGGATGCCTTTTAAATGTTGTAATTGTACCTGCTTCCACCACTTCCTCTGATAGCTCGTTCTGTACACGAACCACCCTCTGTGTGAAAACATTGCCCCTTAGGTCCCTTTTATATCTTTTCCCTCTCACCTTAAACCTATGCGCTCTAGTTTTGGACTCCCCTACCCTGGCAAAAAGACCTTGGCTATTCACCTTACCCATGCTCCTCATAATTTTATAAACTTCTATAAGGTCATGCCTCAACCTTCGATGCCCCAGGGGAAGAAGCCCCAGTCTAGTCAGCCTCTCCCTATAACTCAAACCCTCCAACCCCACCAACATCCTTGTAAACCTTTTCTGCACCCTTTCAAATTTTACAACATCCTCTGTGGAACTGCAAATAAAGAGAAGGAACCAGTTGAATGTGGAACCCAGTTTGGAGCTTGATGTCACCTTATTGGTGTTTCATTAAAATAAACATCATTCTGCCTGTTAATTCTGATAAGATTTTGCAGTGGCAAGCCCTTTAGATCTTTTCACCCACGTCTAAGAATCACAGATATAGAATACAATGTTGATGATAAATTCAAACAGGAAAATTCACTGTCTTGTCTTCCCTGTCTTTAATGAGGGATAAGTGGTAAGTTCGTCAGATGCTCTATATGAATCTTACACTCTGGCATGCACCCTGGAGATAAAATCCATCTTTAGGCTACCTATTTGCAAAGCCTCAAGTTTCTTAAAAGAAGTGTATGAAGCAAGGACAAAAGTGTCACAAAATCAATGATAGTAATATTAATTACATAACAACCATTCAGTACTTATTCAGCATTTAAATAAGTTTCTAGTTTTATAATTTTATTTTATTTTTTGCAACCTAGTTCTTTCCAGTTTGTAACATTTATTTATGTGGATCTGTACTTACCACTCTCATTAATCTCATATATCCTTTCTGTATTAGACTGACATTTTCACTAACTCAATAATCTATTACTTCAGCATATTTTCTTATTAAACAGTCACTCCTGCTTGCCTCTAAGTCTTAGTAAATTTGACTTTCTACAAATTAAACTCTTGAACATTACTGGTTATTGCAGTGTAAATGCCAGAAGCATTTTTCTTAACTTTTTGAGTTCTATAGCAAATAATTCATGTGTTGACTTTTAAAGAATAGTACCAATGGTAGCAACAAGTAGTAAGTGTATTTATTGCTGAAACATATACATGATATTGACAAACTGCTCTAATTATGTCTACAATAACTTCTATCATTGTGGTTTGCGATGAGACCAGGGTGTCCTCATACTCCAGCCACTGAAGATAAACATGCAGGCACAGCAGGCAATAAAGAAGGTAAATAGTATGTTGGCCTTCATAACGAGAGGATTCGAGTACATAAGCAGAGATGTCTTGCTGCAATTATACAGGTCCTTGGTGAAACCACACTTGGCATATTGAGTACAGTTTTGGTCTTCTTATCTGAGGACAGATGTTCTTGAGGACGGAGTGCAGAGAAGGTTTATCAGACTAATTCTTGGGATGGCAGGACTGATGTATGAGGGAGTGTTGAATTAATTAGACAGGAAGAAACTGTTCTCCTTGATGGAGGGATCAATGACCAGGAGGCATAGTCTTAAGGGGCAGAAGGTTTGGAGGAGATGTGACGAAAAACGTTTTCAGCCAGAGGGTAGTAGGATTCTGGAAATCACTGCCTGTTAGGGTGGTAGAAGCAGAAACCCTCATAACATTTAAGAAGTAATTAGATGTGCACTTGTGATGCCAAGGCATACAAGACTATGGGCCAAGTACCAGAAAATGGTATTAGAATAGTAAGGTGGTTGTTTTTGTCTAGCGTGGACACAATGAGCCAAAGGGGCTTTTTCTGTGCCGTAGACCTCCATGACCCTATGACTATCGATAAGCTAATATTCCGACGACTCAGAAGAATGAGGAGGGCGTCTCATAGAAACCTATAAAATTCTAACAGGACTAGACAAGGTAGATGCAAAAAGGATGTTCCCGATGGCAGTGTAGTCCAGAACCAGGGGCCACAGTCTAACAGTCCACAGTGTAAACCATTTGGAACTGAGATGAGAAGAAATCTCTTCACCCAGAGACTGGTGAGCCTGTGGAATTCACTACCGCCGAAAACAGTTCAGGCCAAAACATTGTATGATTTCAAGAAGGAGTTGAATATAGCAGTTAGGACTAAATAAATCAAAGATTTTGAGAGAAAAGCGGTGGGGGGGTGAGGAATGGGCTATTGAGTTGGATGATCAGCCATAAATGGTGGTGGGGGTGTGAAGGGCTGAATATCCTACTCCTGCTCCTAGTTTCTACATTCAGCACGACAACCATAATTGGTTAATTCTTCACTGCCTTCTGAAATGACCAAGAGGTCCAATTAGCTCAAGAGCAACAAGAGATGGACAACGAATGCTGGCCTTGCCAGTGTTGCTCACATCTCACACAAGAATAAAGGGAAATTAAAATTTGTGTGTAGTGTTTCAGCAATGCTTAAAGGGCTTTGCATGCCATCTGTTTTGTTTTCTAACCTAGGACAGTTTTACTTTTGATCTGAACGAGGTCATCTATATCCTTCTACATTATTTTTTCATGGCTGTGTTTCTTTAATCATTTAGATTAAAAGATTGACAGATAAGCAGAGGAAACTTCAATAAGATTTTGTGTGCAACGTCAAATCAGGTTCAAAAAGAGAAATAAATAGAGGAAAATAATGATTGGAATAAAGGACAGAGAAAAGTGAGACAAAGGATAAATAAGAAAGAATCTAATATTGACTTTCTTAAAGTCTCCTAAATGAATACGTTACAGGAACATTCCAAGAAGATTAATGGCAAGATGCTGTTTCCCCAGACCTAAAGGAAGAGTAGTAAACATTGGTTTGCAACTTTTTGTAACTTGCAAACACAGGGTATCTATTCTTTTTTACAAACTGCTGCCAGATTTATACATTAAGAATAGCATACACCTTTCAAACAATTCTCTTTTTCTGCAAATGATGGATCTAAAAGTTTTATGATCATTCTTTACCACAAGTGTAAGCTCCATTTAGTGTTACTTCATCTTAAAATACCACTACACTAAGAAAAAGAAGCACAAATAAAATATTGTGTGCAGCTAATAGCTTTTTACACAGTAAGGCCATGATAGTTCCTTGCAGCAGAGACTTCAATAGGGCAGCTTATTAGTGATAACAAGAAGGTGAGAGATGAAAAGTTATTTTAATGGGTTACCCTGGTTACACAAGCTTTCCTTCATTGACCTCCAGCCCAGTGATTGGAGGTTTGTTCGTCATGATAGCTTGGCTAGTTCAGCATCAGTGCAAGTGGTTTTGCTTGGTTTTCCTTGTTCAAAACAGAATAAAAACAAAAGAGAATAAGGAGGGTTCCTGTGGTGCGACAGTAGTGTTCCTACCTCTGGATAAGGAGGCCTAGGTTCGAGTCACACCTGCTCCGAAGGTGTGTTATAACATCTCTGAGCAGGTTGACTGGAAAATATACAAAAGAAAATAAAGAATAACGAACAGGTAAAAGAAGTATGGAATATTTGACATTCACTAATAGCATCAGGGGTATCCAAAGAAGTGGCCTCTGCTATATTTAAAAAAGGATGAGCAAAGAGCATACAATAATCCAAGAAGTCATGGGTCTTGGTGAGAAAACATGTTTGTTGAAAGTGATGTGTGAAGTCCAACTCTAATGCTCCATGAAACATCTGTCTAAATGCTATTTGAGTGCAAAATTACAGGTGTCTGATTTAAACCACCAGTTGAGTTCAAATTTTAGTGATCAGCAATTATGACCTAAATTGAATGCTGAAACCAGACTTCCAAATGGGCACATCTTAGTAGCACAGCATCTCTGTTCTTATTCTTTACCCCAAATAGCTCCTTGAATGTCTTGAGCAGTTTAGCTGAAATCCTTTTAATACCTATTTCAAAAGGACAGTATCTCTGTGAGTGCAGCACTCCCTCTGTACTGGATGGATTTTTATGTAGGTTACATTATTAACTCCCAAGCTCATGACTTGCTGAATCTTATTAAAAACCTTGTTAAACTGGCACTTGCTCAATATAATAGGAAATAACAAATTTGTAATAAATCCCATTGTAATAATGTGAACCTGGAAGGATGTCTTGTAGCATCAATGGAAAAGCCCCATAACAAGTCCCAATGCCTTCCAGAGAGGCGTAAACAAAACAGGCAAAAGGGTGAGGAAATATTCTTCAGGACAACCATCAGTTAACAGATAGAGATAAATGTCCAAATGTAACCCGATAATCGGAGCTCAGCACAGTCACAACTGACAGTTTTGGGATTATATATTTGCTATAAGGTATGCT